GGGGGGGGGGCCGGGGAAGGGAGGGGAAACGGCGGCGACTCCAAAAGCAGGGCAGCTCAAGCCCCGCGCCGGGGAGGCAGCGGGCGGGCCGGGGGCAGGGGCTGCGCCCGGGGGGGAGGAGGAGGAGGAGGAGGAGGAGGAGGAGGAGAAGGCGGCAGCGCCGGCCGCGGCGGGGCGGCCGCCCGCGATGGCAGCGCCGCAGCTACCGCGGCCGGAGCGCGGCGGAGCCCCCGCGCACCGGGGGAGGGCTCCAAACTTTCCCCCACCCCGGGGCCGCGCTCGGGGCTGGCTGGGCCCCCCCTGCGCCGGGCCTGCGCGCACCGCTCCGGCCCTCGCCGCCTGCTTTTGTTCGGCTCCGGACTCCTCAAACTGGCACGGAGGAGCCCGGGGGCGGGGGGAGGAAGGGGCAGCGGCGCCGCCCGCCCCCCCGGCCCCATTGGCGGCGGCGGCGGCGGGAGGGACGGCCCGCGGGCCGCGCCGCCCCCTGCGCGCCCGCCCGTCAATCTCCGGGTTCAGAGGTGGGCCGGGGCCGCGCCCCGCCCGCGCCTTAAAGCGCCCGAGCCCGGCCGAGCAGCGCCGCAGGGGAAGGGGCGGCCCGCGCCGGGGGAGCGGGGCCCCGCCGGCCCTCAGCCCCCGCCCCTCCGAGCCGTGCCTCGGCCTTTCCGCGGCCCGCCGGCTCCCCTCTGCCCCTCACCTCCCCTCAGCCATTCCGCCTCCCCTCAGCCTTCTCAATCTCCTCTCAGCGTCTGCTTCCCTACCTCCCCTTAGCCAGCCATCCCACCTCCCCTCAGCCATTCTGCCTCCCCTCAGCCTTCTCCATCTCCTCGTGCCCCCCAGGCAGTCCCTGTGCCTCCCTGTGCCATCCAGCAGGCTCTGACTCTGCACGCTGTCCCCAAATCTCCCAGGAACGAGGAAGGTTCCCTGGCCACTGTAGCCCCCAGGGAGATCCCTTCATCTCAGCACCAGCGCGTCTTCATGGTGCTCTTTTTCTCTCTAAACCTTGGACTGGATGACCCACTGTGGTCCCTTCCAATTTAGGACTGCTTCTGTGATTCTCTGCTGTGTATTTCCCAGTGCAGAGCCTGTCCAAATACATTATGCAGGTCAACGGTGCCACATCCCACACTTGATGGCCTCTCAACTGCACCAACAGCCAGCAGAGATACCAAGGCCACCAAGGCCACCATTCCAACCTACATGTCACAGCACTCTGGTGAGGAAGGACTTCCTCAGCCCCTTTCTTCATTCCCTAGCACTTGAGTCTGTCCTGTCACTGGAAAGATCTCTGTAGGCATCAACTGATCAGCTGGCATGGTCCTGGGACAGGGCTGGCTTGCAAATTTGCATTTTAAAATTGATAAATAAAACAGTTATCAGCAGTGATCAGCACTGTTATAACAGTGATCAGCAGGCATGGCCCTGGGACTGGGCTGGCCTGCAAACTTGCATTTTAAAATTGATAAATAAAACAGTTATGGTGAGTCAAGAATTTCTTGCATGGTAAATGGCTTCATCAGGTTGTCCCTTTCTCAGATCCAAGGATTGCCAGCTCCAGGCACCTTGTAACACAATGGAAGATGTGTCTAGTCCCAGCTCCTGTCTTCACTATTGGCTGGGGAAAGACCCATCAGGTTCATTGGAGAAAAGAAAAAAATATAAGACAATTGTTTTGCTTCCACTCTTCCTTTTTAATGAAACACTTTCTAGTGTTTTAAGCAAAACATGACTTTTCACTTTGAAATTTCCTTTCGAACCATTAAAATGTTTTAAAGCAGTGGAAGGCGCAGTGAGATGTTTTGATTTTTGTCGCACTGAAATGTTTCACTCAACACATTCTTCATGTGTCTTGATTTGCCAAAATTTTTCAAAGGTTTCTGCTTTCTCGCCCAAGACATATCTGTATGTTTTTTACTTTTCTGCAGAGGGGAA